GCCGCGGCGCAGGGAAGAGGGAGGAGCGAGGACAGAGGGAGGAGCCCGCCCCGTCGCGCCGCCCCGGGCAGGGCAGCGCGAGTCCGCGCGAGCAGCTTTATTGGAGCGGCCTTTTCTCCTCCCCACCGCAAAACCGCTGCTGTCCGCCCCGGCTCCCGTCAGTTCTTCAGCTCGCCCAAGCGCAGCCTCGCAAAGTCCGTGGCCAGCTTGAGAGCCTCCTGCAGGCAGCCCACGTTCTTGCCCGTGGCCTGGGCCGAGACGTCTTTACCGCCGCCTTTGCCGTCCATGAGAGCCGACACCTCCTGCACCCACTGGCTGGCCTTGAGGCCCCTCTGCACTGTCTCCTGGAAAAGAGAGGGGAAAAAATGCAGGGAGAGACAGGGTAAAGCGCTGCGGGCACCGTCCAGGGTTGAGGGAGGTGGAGAGAGAACCCCAGGGCCAGCGGTTTGGAGAAGGGTGTGCGCCCGCACGTGCTCCCTGCGTTACCTGGGGTACTTGACATAGGCAGGTAATTCGGCCAGCCTCGTTATCCACAGCGAAGAGCATGGTGGCCGTCTGGGGCGACTGAGTCTTGAAGAGCTTCAGAGACTCATTCAGTGCCTGCGGGATGAGAGTCGCATCAGCTTGCAGAGAGCCCTGCTCCAACTGTGGTGAGGAGGGTCCCCTCCAAGTGCCCCTTGGATCTGCTCTTAGAGCCCAGAGCTCAGTGAACTGGGCACAATATTCAGGTCTCTGCGCCCTGTGGCTTAGCAGGCAGTATAATAGACAGAAGGGAATCGCTCTGCTGGATTCAAGGGAGGAGGGTGGCTGCTCTGGAGAGGGTAAGAAGGCAGCAAGACTTGACAGGGACATGAAGAAACCAGAAGGGTATCACACTCTCCAATGTGGAGAGGCTACTGAGAATGTCCAGCACCCTCTTAATTTTAAGGAGAATCCTCTGCTCTCGGGAACAGCATGATGCAGCACAGAGCGCCTGGAGGAGGCTCCCTGGGGAACAGAGTGTTGCTGACATCACTGGCTACTAAACGACACCCGGCTGCTCCCTTAGGCTGCCCGCGCTGCCAGATACAGGTGTCAGGGAGAGCCCAGACCTTCCCCTACCTTTGCTGAAGCTCCATTTTCCATTTCCATGATTACCAGAGGCTGGTTAGGGTGACTCTCAATGACTTGCTTCGTCTTCTCCAGCACCTGAGAAGAGCAGTGCTCAGACATCAGAGCAGGCACAGGGCAGTCGGACACAAGGACAGCGTAGGCATAATCTACGCCCAGCTATAGGGGGCCCCCATCTTCTCCTAACACACCCATGGCCTGGCCCTGAGCAGCCCCGCACTGCAGAGCCAGGGGCAGAACGTGCTGGCAGGTGCACGCGTGATGTGCAAGGCAGTAACGCTGCTGCGAGTGGTGGCCCCTCCAGGAAAACCCAACAAGACTCAGGAAGAACCTTATACCACATGCATCCTGCACCCACGTCCAGGGGCTCTACACCTAGAATAGGAACATCCCACCTCCCCAGAGGTACTGCAGGTCCTTCACGCCACAGACCAGCAGCAGATGCATCAGGAAGAACCTTATACCACACGCATCCTGCACCCACGCCCAGGGGCTCTACACCTGAATAGGAACATCCCACCTCCCAAGAGGTACTGCGGGTCTTTCACGCCACAGACCAGCAGCAGATGCAGCTGGGCTTAGGACAGGGGGAGCTCACTGCTGCAGAGCACCCTCATCACTGAAAACTGATGCAGAGGGTGGGCCAACCTCTGTGCCAAGGAGCAAGAGCCACAGTGAGCCAGGGTCTTGAGGAGAGAGCAGGGTGTCCCCACTGCTCAGCTCCCTTCTGGACTGGGCCGCAGTGAAGCTCCCACAGAGGAGCCTGCCACAGGCCCTCTCTCAAACTGCCTTTGATTCCTGCACAGGGCTTACTCGCTTCTGGATGTTGGCTTTGCTTGCCCGGTCCAGGTCATCCATAACCTTCTTGAGTGCTTTAACAGCTTCTCTCAGCTCATCTTTCTGCCACTGCGGGACAACAGCAGTGGCCAGCATCTGCAACACAGGGAAGAGATGAGCGACTACGACATGGACCACACTGCAACAACCTTGACTGCTAGAGCTCAGTAAGCCACCCCTCCCTGTGCCCAACAGCTTCAGAAAGGAGGTGCTGGCTGTGGCATCCACAAGATGCTTCTGCTTTGCTTGTGTTCCACAAGTCCACCAGCCATTACACCCATGCAGCTGAGACCGGGTGACCTCAGACACCCTCTAGGAAGACACAGAGGCAAGAACCTGAACTTGGATCTTGTTACCACCAGCCACTGGTGGCAGTTGAGGTCCCACTCACCTCACTGAGATCTGCAATCTCCTTCTGCACATCCTTGTTGGGAGCTGTCTGGACTTTCACTTTGGCATCTAGGTCAGCCAGCAATTTCTTGAGGCTGTCTACCTTTCTGAGGGCCTAGCAGAAGAAAAACCAAGTCATGTTTCATAGGGAGCGTTACCAAGTGGAGCTCTGGTCAGCACCATATGTCACAGGTCCAGGTGTGGAGGCTCCTTGCCATTCCCACACTCTGTGGGGTGCACAGTACCAAGGCTTGAATAAATCCGGACATCTGCCACCCCAGAACCTCTAGATCTGCAGCCCATTTCGCAAACCAACAGGAGTTTATCCCACAGCCACCTCTGGGACCCACCCTGTGCCCAGCTGAGGTTCCCCCCTCTCTCCTCTGTGTCACAGGTAGCAGCCTTCACTGACAGCAGTGTCCTTTGCCGTGACAGGGCTGGTGGAGTTCAAGCCAGCATTCTGATACTCCATGACACCAAGTTATCCCAGTAGGAATACTGGTCAAACTGCCCTGGAAGGATTCTTGGCACAAGGTTACCGCATCCGTGCTGTGCACGGCTGTTACAGCGGATCATCTCCTGCCTCTCCCTCACCTTTCGAGCCTCAGCTCCAGTGACTGCGACTATCCTTCGGATGCCTTTAGCAATTGCTTCTTCTGACACAATCACGAAGGGGCCAGCGTGGCCGGAGTTCTGCAAGTGCCTTTTGAAAGAATCCAGACACAAACCCACAGGAGAGTTAAAAATCACTTTCCTTTTTTTTTTTCCTAGCAGATAGCAGCATAGCAACAAAAAATACAGCCTTGCAAAGAGATGCAGCAAGGGTGGAGACAGGACTCAACTCAGCTGTTGTAATGGATACTCACGTCCCACCGCAGAACTCAATAGAAGCGATGGAGCCTGCGGGGCCGGAGGGATCAGCCAGCAGCTCCTCCACGGGGATGCCGATGGAGACCACGCGGACAGGATCGGGGTAGGTCTCGTCAAAAACAGCCCGCAAGCCCTGGATAGCTTTGGCCGCTGCGAGAATGCAGTCCTTGGCGTACACGGTCTGTGGAGGACAGGAAAGGGGAGCAGATAAGAGCTGGTTCTGTCAACTGTGACCAAAGGCCCTGCATTCCCAAGGAACCCTGGCTTCTTCTGAAAGAACCCAAAAAGGAAAGTTCTGGGCCTCACAGGAGCCACAGGGATCCCAGATTGATTAAGAAGTGCCCCTTAGTTCTCATAACTAACACAACATTAGAGCAAGCAAGGAATTACTGGAATAATTCAGTCCTGGAGAGGTCTCAGAACTGGTGAAGACAGCAAAGTATCACTCAAAACCCTTTGAGATGACGGCAATCTGTGCACAATGCTGTATCA